AAGATTGTGGAGTATTTACTTAGTACCTGCCCCCATTGTCAATATTTCTTATTGTAGCCCTTCCACCCCCTTGCAAAAATAGTTATAGAATTTCAACATAACTTTTGAACCCTCATTTTCGAAGCTCATGACTATTCATAGATTTATTCCTTCTCCACTGATTACATTAATTGTTTTCCTGAATAGCTTTCCATTTATAGCAATCTTTATTTGTAGATATGGACCTCAGATGCATAATATAGTCTTAATTTGATTATTAGGTTAACTGAGTGTTTTGTCTGTTCATGCATTACAGGAAACCCTGAATTCTGTGCACTTGACACTGCTGCTGTCAAGGATGAATCATATAAATGCAGGCTCTATTCCATGCTCACCACAAGGGCCACAAGAGCCCACCCTGCAATTGACAGCTTTGGCACAAACACTGTTGACTGGATGGGAAGAGTGTGCCACCCATTTCTTGGCAGCAAACATTGCTTTCTCTTGTGAAGGACTGAAATCACTAGCACATCCAAATATTTTACCTTTTGGAGAGTCATTACTTTTAAAACTGCAGAAAAAACACACTTTCTCTGCTGTGATATACTAGAGTTATCTTTTGAGGGAATTTCATTTGAGAAAAAGACACTGGGAGGGATTTCTTATTAAAGTCTCTATACAGCAGCTAACTGCAGCTAGAATTGTACTAATACAGTGGGGAGAGAACATACACACAAATGCTCATTTTAATGAGAGAGAAAGTGTAGGTAGAAGCAGATGACCTAGATGATTTTATGAATAAAAGATTTAATCTGATGCAATCATTTCATTAATACACACATGGCACCAAATGAAAACAGAGCATAGCAGATGGCTATGAGAGATCTTAAAAAGGCATTTTCAGTTTAGTAGCTAATGACTTAGATTTCATGGACTACACCAAATACTATCAGAAATGAAACATTTATCATACCAGTCTTCCAAAGAATGTTGTAATGCCTTATGAAAGTAATGCTGAAAAATCTCTCTTTTGTAATGCTAGTTAGAAAATAGTCACATTGTATATTATACAGCTATAGGGCAATGTAATTTTTTCACAAAAACTATTGAAAGAAAACCCCACTATTTTCTTTATTAATAGCTTATATTTATTTAATTTAAAGCTCTTTCTTTGCTTCCCGTTTGCTACGAATAGTGGAAATAGTGGTTTCCAATATAACAATGAAATACAGTCATTTGCCATGCAATTTTAGACTGTAAATATCACATATATTCATTTGCTATGATGATGGATCCACTGTAAACAGCTGCAAAAAATTGCATTGAGGAAGATTGGCATAGTGCTAATAATTGATTCAATTTATTTTAAGATAAAATATTTGGAATAAATTTAGAATGAATGTATAAATTTAAAAGGAGGCAGTAAGTGTGGAAGGCTCATGTAATCCGCATTGTGTTTTTACATTAGTAGACCTCAGCAGGGAAAGCAATGAAGCAGGGGGATAATGCTGTTTAGCACACTGCATGACAGCACTGGCCATGTGGCTACCTCATCCTGACCCCGTCATGTCACCCACGTCCAGGTTGCAGGGGGTCTGACCGACAAGCCAAATGTGTCAATTCTGCTCTCAGTCTGCTCTGCCCCGTCCTTGAGGAATGTGCATCCTGCAAGATTTGATTGCTCTCCAGACCCTTTGCAAAACCAGATCAGGGCAAAAGGGCTGGATTTCTTAGAGAGAATCTGGCCTACAGCTTCTTACAGACAGATTAACCTCAGTTTGGCTTCAAACTGAGGACACACACAGTCTCATTCTTCAGACCTAATCCAAGATCAACTCAGTCTATATTATTTCATCAGAAATTAATATCACGGCACTGGCATCTTTGAACACATGCAGACTGAATTTTCTTTTTGCAAAGCTTGTTTGAGATCCTGTTAGGAATGACAGAGTTTATACTGAATTTGGGCAGAACAGAAATTATTATTCTCTTTGAATGCAAAGCAAGAGGAAAAAAAATTACACCCTACCACCCAAAAGCCTATGTGTGGAATAGCAAGCTGATTTTGTTTCCTTTCTATGCAACAGAAAAAAAAAAAATTGAAAAATACAAGTTTAGCCCTGTTGCAAACTGTTATTGCTGCTTCATTAGGAAACAGTTCTTTGTAAACCAGGAGATATAAAGTTTTGATAATCCTGAATGCTTTTGAATGAAATGTAGGCGTGGGTTTCACGTAATCTGAAAATGTACACTGTGCAATATACATCCACAGCATCTTTGGCAGACTGTTATTCTGCAAATCCTGACTTTACCATTGGCTGAAGCATTCAGGGGAATGGTGTAAAAACTAAGATGAACCTTTAGAAGCTGAAAATCTTCTTATGTCTACAACTTACAGTCATGACTTTACATAGTCTGAGCACTTTTTGATTTATACAATTTGTCAGATAAGTCCACAGATTGTTGTTATTCATGAAAAGGATAATGGAAATGCAGTTAATTGCACTCTTCATACAATTTTCACTTTTATGTAAAACACACAGAGAACATCATGTTGATTTTTATTACTTCTATTTTGACAGCAAGTCAGGCCTCCGATAAAGGACAGAAATTCAAAGCCTCAGAAATCATACACATAAATTTGCGATATAGCAACTTCCTTTGAATTTTTTAGCCACTTAAAATGAATGTTGGCCTTGTGAAAGAGACCCTCTGAAATTTTTTTTCCAAACTCACCAAGTCTGAAGTTCTGTAAACTTTCTCAAGAGGAAGGCCAAGTACCCTGCATGTGAATGTGGCTGCAGGGTGGCATGAGGTTACTGCTAGAAAAGGAGATGTCAAGTATTCCAGAATGAGATGTATCTCCTGTAAAAGATGATCTGAAAGAATTTAACTTTAAACCATAATTAAATCAAAAACAATTTAGTAACAATGTTTATATGTTTATTCATTTAGGATATTTCATCTCCTTATCTTCATGACTGGGCTGTCAGGAACACAGCAAACACTGCCAAACTATTAATTAATAGACCAATGTTTGATATGATCAGAATGTAATTCCTTTTTATTTAAGGGTCCTAAAAGCCCAGATAAATGGTTTTTCTATCCCAGTACCAGGGAGCAGCTTTCCTTTGTAGAAATTCTGTTATTTGTCTATGAACCAAAATCTTCTCTCCCCTCTCAGTAACTTCAATCACAGGTTTTCCCCCTGTTTGGTGTGCTAAATAGGATTATCATCATTAGCTTGTAAGCATATTCCCTGCCCTATCTCCTACACATGCATAACTGCTTCCCTTACTGCTTTCATTTCTCTATTTTTCAGATCCATCTGCAAACAGACAATTTTGGTCTATATGAGACACTCAGTTGTCAGGGTAGCTGGATAGATACCACAGTCCTCTTAAAACAAACCAAACTAAACTCTAACTTCTTTTTAGCTTCAGTGTTGTTGCAACAGCAATTTTTAGAAACCATACACAAAAAGCCAAAGACTCTTGACTAGGAGAGAATAAAAATCTCTCCATTTCTGTTCAGCATTTCTGTGTATTTACTGATCCTCACTTGTTTGATACTTTCCTAATTCAATCAGTCAACTGACCCAGTATCACGTGAAGCAGAGACCATCTGCATAGTCCAAATGAAAAGACAACAAACCTTGGGGTGTGTAAAGCATAGAGATGCCCTCTTGCACAGATGAAGCATGGTCCCATTTATTCAGAAAACACTTAACATGTTTAATATAACATGGAATTGGCTTGTGAGCTGCAAAGAATAATAATAATAAAGGACTACACTGTTTATTATGCCTGTGCAGTTCTGCTTTAGAAAGAATTTGATTTTACCAAGTTCAATGGTAGGAATATTGATATTAGGCTGATGAGATTTTTTCTTGTGTTGTTCTTTAATGAGATTAGTTGAGCTGATATGAAGGTTTACTTGATTATTTTGTAAATATATTTTACACTAGAGAAGTTTTTTTACTGGAGAAGTTAATTTCCATCGGTACCAATATTTAGTAATGTCTCAGGTACAACCTGTGAGGTTATCTGTAAGATGAAAAAATCTATTTTAAGCACAGTTGTTTATGAAAATAAAATATGTGGACTGATTATAATGCAGGGATTTATTCTTCTGCTGTTTAGAGATGCTTTGTATGAAGATTTGGTGCCTATTCTAGCATAAATAAAACAGTCTCAGAATTCTCTGAAATGGCTATATATGAGCTTGATTTCTCTGCAGTGATTCTTATAACTGTAATCAGGGGAGAATAAAGATGCAATTTGAAGTCAAATATCTTCCAGGGTTTAGCAGTTCTAAGAAGTAAGGTCACTGCTGTGTGACACCGCTGGTTTGATCTCTAGGAGCGAGGCGAAGCCCAGCAGGGCAGGGGCCCGCGGTGTCCCCCTGCCGCCCTAGGGCCGCGTTCCGGGGGGGCGGCCGGGGCAGCCCCGGGGCCGGGCGGAGCGCGGGGAGTGCCGGCGGGCGGGGGCGGGCGGCCAGCGGGCACCCGGCCGGGGCGCTCGGGCTACCGGGCACCCGGCTGCACCACGAGCCTGCCGGGGCGGCTCTTCCTCCGCCCTCCCTGCTCCTCTTCCGTTTATTTATTTCATTTATTTTTATTGCATTTATTTGTTTGTATTCAACGGAATAATAAAAATGAGAAAATCCGAGCGCTGCTTTTGGCTGCTCTCCACCAACCTGTCAGTGACGCAAGCGGAGACTACTTAAAGGCAGATTAGAGGCAGCAAGACATTAAAGCCAACCTTCCTCCCTCCACGCCGCCGGTCCGCCCGCCGCCCTGAGCCACGAGCCGAGCGGGCCGGGCCGGTGGCGGCTGCCGAGCAGCCCCAAGCCCCGCAGAGCCGAGCCGAGCCGAACCGAGCCGGGAACCCTCGGCAGGGCTGCTGCCTCCAGCTGCCCTCCCGCCACCGGACTGCGGGCGGTAGAGACGGGCTGCTCTTCGGTCTGTTTTCCCTCCCCCTGAAAAGAAAAAAAAAAAAAAAAAAATTAAAAAAAATAGGAGGGGTGAAAAAAGGCAGAAGTGAAGAGATCCCCTACGCTTGCCAAAGTCTTTGTCTCCGGATGAACAGCGATGGGGGAATGGACTATTCTAGAGAGGCTACTGGAAGCTGCCGTGCAGCAGCATTCTACTATGATAGGGAGGTAAGGGTCGCGGGAGAGCTGCGGGGAGCACGGGGGGATCCCCTCCTGCCCGAGCAGCTCGGCGGCGCACGGTGGGTCCCGGCTGCTCCGTGCCCTTCGGCCGGGCTCTTTCGGGGTGTGCCTGGAGCTCTCGTGTGTTGTGTGTGTGTGTGTGTTGTGTCTGTGTGTGTGTGTGCTGGGGAGGCTGGTATGCGGCACGGGGCGCGGGGACACCGCCAACGCCGCCGTCCTTGTCCCCGAGCAGCCACGGGGCTCCGGACGGTCGTCGGGGAGACCCCAGTACCATCGGGGTCCCGCTGCCCGCGCAGCCCCGCGCCTTTCCCGGCCGCGCTCTCGGGGGCCCCCGGGCCCGTGTGATCGCCCCTCCGCCCAAGGGGCCAGCGCTGACCGCCGCCCGCGGTCTGTGGCACACGGCCGTGCCGAGCCGATGCCGCACAGCCTGCGCGCCCCCCGCGCCGGAGCGGGGCCGGTCCGAGGTGCCGGGGCCGGTCCGAGGTGCCGGTGCCGGTGCCGGTGCCGGTGCCGGTGCCGGTGCCGGTGCCGGTGCCGCGGCGCCGCGGCCCGGTCAGCACTGGACAGCTCCCGGCCGCGCGGCGGCGGCGCGCACTGACGGGCTTCTCTGTTGCAGGATCCTGCTGACCGTGGTGGTGATCTTCAGAATTCTCATTGTGGCCATTGTAGGGGAGACGGTGTACGATGACGAGCAAACGATGTTTGTCTGTAACACGCTGCAGCCAGGCTGCAACCAGGCTTGTTATGACCAGGCTTTCCCCATTTCTCACATAAGGTACTGGGTGTTCCAGATCATCATGGTGTGCACTCCCAGCCTGTGCTTCATAACATACTCCGTTCACCAGTCTGCTAAACAAAGGGAACGGAGGTACTCTACTGTCTTCCTTACCTTGGAAAGGGACCAGGATTCAATGAAGCGTGAGGACAGTAAGAAAATCAAGAACACTATTGTCAATGGCGTGCTGCAAAACACTGAGAACTCCACCAAAGAGGCAGAACCAGACTGCTTAGAAGTGAAGGAAATCCCCAATCCTGCTATCAGAACTACAAAATCAAAGATGAGGAGGCAAGAAGGCATTTCTCGATTTTATATCATCCAAGTGGTCTTTCGAAATGCCCTAGAGATTGGATTCTTAGTGGGACAGTATTTTCTGTATGGATTCAATGTCCCTTCCATGTACGAATGTGACAGATACCCTTGCATTAAAGAAGTAGAGTGCTATGTCTCTAGACCCACTGAGAAGACTGTATTCTTGGTATTCATGTTTGCTGTCAGTGGGATTTGTGTGGTGCTTAATTTGGCAGAACTGAACCACTTGGGCTGGAGAAAGATCAAAATGGCAGTGAGAGGAGTACAGGCAAAAAGGAAATCCATATATGAAATCAGAAATAAGGACCTGCCAAGAATGAGCATGCCTAACTTCGGCAGGACTCAGTCAAGTGACTCAGCTTATGTGTGAGGCTGTGACAGAACTGAAACACTGTGCCAGGTGGAACAGACCCAGATACCATTAGAGAAAGGTACATTGCTTAGGCAAGCATTTTATCAAACCACCAAGAAAGCCATTAAGGTATTGGATCTGCACTTACTGAACTAGCTGCAAAATGCAGCGCTATATTAAAGACTGAAAAAACAGCTATAAAACCATGCTTGACCTAGCCTTACAGCACAGCTACTATTATTCTTACTTTTCTTTCTAATGATTGGGTTTTATCTGTCAGTGAAGCAGCTTTTTGGTTGTCATTAGGATGTTTACAGTTTGAACTGTCTGACTAATTGTTGTAAATGTGTAGAATGTTCATATCAAAAACTCTGCAAGGATACTCTATATGGGGTGGGGTGGGGGACACTGTTGCAATGTGCAGGCATAAGCATGTTTTAAAAGGAGAGTAAGCACACTGTAAGGAACCTAACCACAGCTCAGTCAGGATATCTGCGTTCACATATCTCACAGATGTCTTATTTTGTTTGTCTAAATCACAGACTTTATTCCTGGTGTGTATTACTAGCTATTTTCTATCATGGTTTGTGCATCAATTAGTCATGCTAAAAATAAATACTGAATATAATTTTGCCATTTTTTCTTTGCCAGTCCACACACAGACACACACAGTCACACACAGACACACACAGACACACACACACACACACACCAGAGACCTTAATCATCTTGCATTAGTTGTGATCTGCAGAATATATCAGTACATTTTGATTGATTCCCTAATATGTGCATGGATATGGTGGAGCTGGTTCATGCCAGCTGAGTTATGCATTTACCTACAATCAACTATGATGACACACATACCAAAGGAAGGGAGTTCATTGCATTTGACTGTGAATATATCATCTTTGCTCTTATTTCTATAAGTGCCATACTTGAAACATCTAACTCTGTACTTAGTCAAAAGGTTGTCTTGGGATACCAGCTGGAGTGAAATGATTTTATACTCTCTTTTGTTTATTTTATGCTACGTGTTTAGTCATTGCAATGGTGTAAAAAGCAGCTAAAAGCAGCTATTGATAAATAAAGTACTTGCCTTTTCTTTTCTTTTCTTTTTTTTTCTTTTCTTTTTATTTTTTTTTTGTAAGCCAGAGAGATTTGTTCTTTATTCTTGTATACAATTGTAAAAAACCTTACAGGGTTAAAATAATTCACTTACGACAATTATTCTTCAGGGTTTAAAATGTCTTGTTGGTATTCTAAACTCTAAGCAACAAAACCTGGGAAATCAGGACTGTTTTTTATGTCTGTTTTCCTCCTTAAGGAAGCTTCCTCTGTCTTTAAAGCCTGATCCAAAGCCCACTGACACCAACAGCCTTCTTTCTGCTGACACTAAGGGCAACACAGTTGGCCGCCAAGGTCACTCTAGGAATAGCCAGAATACATTTAACCATAAATGAAACAATTGCAGCTTTTCGTCAGGGAATCCAAATAGTAACCTCAGCTTTTCTGCCTTACAGCTGGTTTAAGAAATACGTTGTTCATGTCCCATCAACTTACTGGTAAGCCACTGAGGCAGTCTCAAATGAATCTCTGTTAACAGCAATTATCTTAATACAGAATAGAATAGCAATTTTACTTAATGATTTTTTTTAACATTTTTTAAAATTCCTTCTGAATTCAACAGAAAATATTTCTCTGGCAACAGTAGGAGTTGGATCAGGACTAAAATACATACAAGTGCATTTCTAACTAAATAGTATCTGCCCTTTAAAAAAAGGGCCAAAATGGTGCTGGAAAATTTGGGGGTACTTTATAACATAAGAAGGAGACACGGGCTCAGAGTCACAAATGGCCTTTTGATTGTATTTTATGTCAAGCCTGACAATGGATTTTATTATATATTGGCTTGGAAATGATGCATATAAATCTTTTCCTCTTGGCTTACAACAAATACCTTAACATTCCATTCTTGTCTTTTGCCAGCATTGTCACTTTAAAAAAATGTTGATTAATTCTTAGATAGTCTATCCATTCATCGGTTGTCTTTTTTCTTCCACTGTGAAGCATTAAACGACTTTGAGATGTGTCATGTTTCTAGAGATTTTAAAGATATTTTTCCTTATGTATAAATTTAAGAGTTTTCCTGATTTGGTTATAGAAACCTTTAAAGATGGATTTCTCAAATTCTTTGTGATAAAAACGCACACTGATATTGCTAGTTGACTGCATGCTCACTGGAAAACTGCATGTTATTTTTAGAAGGACAACATGGCAGCTAAAATCTCCATCTGCGAAATAAAAAGCTTCTGAAGATTATTATTTGACACACAAACCCAAGTCTGATTTTCATTTTGCAGAGTCCTGGGATGCTTTTCAAAATCTCATTTTGAATGGATATTGAAAGGAAAAATATGCTTTGATAGTTATAAGCACTCCTTTAACGTTGAAGAAATGAGAGATTGTGTTCAAAGCGATCGATCCAGTGTAAATTAAAGTTGAAAAAACAAAACTCATACTTCATTGGGCTTTGGTTCAGGTTCAGTATAATTTCCTGTTAGGCAGAAGCCCTAATGCAAGTTTTTTTTTCCAGTGGCTGCATAGCAGTTTTCAGTCAAGCTCTAGTGAAGGTGCATGTCTTGAAAGCGATAAGATTTTAATACCTTAAAATTCTAAGGTAATATTTAGAGAGTGTCTGTTTATATTAGTCAATGCAAATGATTCAGTTAACTTAATATTTTTTATGTAGTTACACATTTGTACTCCAGTAAGTTGGGATTCTTCAGATTTGTCCAAAGAGAAGAATATCAGGAAATGCAAATACTGATTTATGTAACAGGATCAGGGATAAAGTAGGCAAAGACTTATATTTTGATCAACAGAAACATCATCCACCATACTTGGAATATGGCTTTTCGTATTTCAGATGAGAGATGAAATGTGTCAAGAGATCAGTAATTCTAATCTTCCTTTTAAATTGCTATTTTTCATTTCTTACCAACTACTCATTTGTCATGGACAAGAGAAATATAGCAAACACTTTTTTTTGTCAATATGTGAGAATCATATGATTAATGCTAATGGACTGTTTGCATGAGAGCTGACTGTTCATTTACAGAATAAATGCTTTAAAATTGTCACAGCAATGGAAAAGTGTGTTAACTGAACAGAACTGAGTGAACATGAAGCTGAAGGGCACATTACTGGCTACTTAGGCTCTTGCTCCTGCCTCGATGAAATAAATTTGTCTCACCATTTACATCTCTGTAAGGATCAGACATTAAAAATGAAAATTGAGTTAATGTTTGTTTTGTTCGTTGTTTACATTGTTTTGCACTGGTGGACAACATTATGTGTCATGATAAGTGCAAACATAAATGCTATGTTCACTAAGCTCCTATTGAAAATTGCAATAGAATCTAATAAACTATTAGTTTCATGGGATTTGAAAATTTACGCAAAATAATGACATTATTTCATTTTTATATAGATTTGATGTTGTGCTTTCCACACCTGTGTGAATTTCAAGAATGATCTATATAGGGGTTATGAACCATTCCACCAGATATGTATAAGATACACTGAGAGTCTATTAAAATATTTTTAATGAGATTTTTTTCACAATGAAAATAGCTACCTTTTTACATGTAGCATTTTTACATGGGGAAGTTGAATTCACTGATCCCATAAAGAGTTTAGTTTTAGAGACCTCTGACTTTGAAGAAATGTAAGGGTTTTCAGTTTTTTCAAGGGAAAACTGGAGAACAAAGAGATCAACTGACATTAATGAATCACAGAAATGGTTAGATGGATTTTACTTTATTTTACACTAAAGAAGTCAGAAACACTCAGACTCTTCAGAGTGGGTGCAATGCTTTTTTTGCATTATACCTAATAGTGTAGGATAAAGCTACTGCTGTGTAGAGAACCACAGGAAAAGATGTACATGAAATGTTAAATGTGAGGAAGAATTCTTTTCCTGCATTTGCAAAAGAATACATTTTTTTCAGGGCAAGAGGTTGGATCAGGTGGACATTGTGCCTGCATCCTTTTGGCTTTATTTTGTTTGAATATAACTGTTTCACCTTGCTCCTTCAGCAAAACGGGTCATGAGCTTTTGTTTGGTGTGCAAGTATAGAAGTGGGAATTAAAAAATTGGGTCATATGAGGAGAACACAGGCATATGTTTCAGTACTTAGAATCTAGTCTGGTTCTTCATGAATTTAATGACAAGACTTCATTTTCTGTGGGACCAAGTCAGTTCCCAGCTGGGCGAAGCACTTTTATTTCATGAGATTAACAGGAGACATTACAGCATTTCTGTATTGCACACCCATCCCTGGATATTTTGGAATATTCTTCCCAGAAATTCTATATTATTGTAAGGTTTCAGAAAATACACTTAGTTATTATCAGCTTCTAGTAGCAGATCCTAAACATCACCATTCTCTCAATGAAATTCTAATAGTATCTCTATGAAGAAAAATTGCTCTAGGAAGTGTTTCATATTATGTCTATTAAAATGTTCTAAAGTCAATCAAGAGTTAGCAGCCCATTAGATAAGTGCAGATATGTAGTATTCCTCTGGCACTGCATTAAAAATAAACCATGAATACAGATGTATATATGAAGCTAAATATTTGCAAGATTGTTCTAAGATTTTACCTAAATTAAATTAGTGTGTTACAGACTGAATTTCAGAGATGGATACAGAAGTCACATATCCAGAGACAGTTATACACTGAACTAGATGTAATGACCTGACTGGATATTTAACATGCAAAAACCCCAAAAATCAACATTTTCCTGTGACTTCTGGGGCTATGGGCTATACCAGTTTCTTCAGAGTGCTTAGCTGAGCAGGTGTGTCTCGAAGTGATAGTTTTTAAAAGGCTTGTCTTCACAACATTATAATCTATCAGCTTTTTCTCTGTAGTGCCTGAAATACAGGCTGAATCTGATCTCTAGGTTATGGAGACCCATATAAAAATGACTTTCTGATATTCCCTCAAAGTGAGAATTACTCTGGTACTCAACAGAATGTGAAAGTAAGATAATTTGCTACTAATCCACCTATTATTATTTGCATACGTAGTGTGGCAAAAAAGGTCATAGAAGGGTTACCAGTATCTGGAAAATAATTAATACACCCTGAAGTGATTAAGCAAATCTTGACTTTTGTTTCATTCACTGAAAACAGCATTTGCTGCATATGATTTATCTGTATATATGTTTTATGGCACATAATTAAATGTAACTTTCATTTTTGAAATATTTTGTGAAGTTTCCAATGAAATCATGATTGATGTTTTTGTATTTTTTTCAGAGAAAGTTTAAAAGATTACTATTTGAATTCAGCTCTCTATTTTTTGGAAGATGTTATAATTAATCCTATATTTTAAATCTTTTAACAATTTGGGTTGTTTTTTTTCTTTTTGAGGAATGCTAAATCAGAAAATTATTTGTACAAGTAAAGCAACATTACATTTGAA